CTCTCTCTCTCTCTCTCCCTCCCTCCCTCTCTATCTCTCACGATAGACCACCACCACCAGGCCTCCACCCGCGACGACCACCACCAGGCTGCGACCAGCGACCTGCGACCTCCTCATTTAACATTCGCCAAAATGAAAAGGGCACTACAATTTACTATCGGCAACATGGAATACTAGAACCCAGGGCAGAAATGCTACAAAGCCCGAGCTATGTGCAAAATAAACATTATACAAGTTAGTGTTTGAAAAATCGGCCGCCAGGAGCTAGGCGGGTTTTTTTTTTATTTTTTATAATTATTTATAAATAATTTTTTTTCCTGACTTTAAAGAAAACCTAGGTTTTATCCTTTTATTTTGCACGATTTTTGGTAAAAATTTATAATTTATAATACAAAATATTTTTATTTTTTTATAAAAGAAAATTGATTCATAAAAATTAAAAAAAAATAGTACCGCCGTGCGGCTATACCCAATGTTTTTATTTTTTTTAAAGAATAGTATAGCCGTAATGTTTCTTAAAATACGTATAGCCGATCGGTTATACTTTTTTTACACGTGGCGCCCTATGCGGGTACTCTTTTTTTTTATTTAATAAATAGTATAGGCGGGTGTCTATACCCGATTTGTGTCGTACGGGTATGGCTGTACTGGGTTTTTTTGTTTTAGTTGCCTTTAAATAGTATAGCCGGGCGCCTATACTCTTTATATATATATATATATGGGATCCTTATTCTTTTAAAAAAATTTCCTAATTTTTTGTTTATCGATAAGAGTAGTTTATAACATTATCCATTACTATTATGTCATTACCCGAGTCTCTATTGTCCCCTTTTAATTTTTTACTTTTTCAAAGTTATTATCTGTATAAAGAATTTAGCACTTTTAGGTTTAATACTCTATTATACACGTGTGTATGTATTTTTAATAATACATACATGTTATGTACACATCTTAAAGACTCGGTAAAATTCACGGTTTTTAAAAAATAAACGTACAATACTCGTATTGTACATGTAAGTATGTATTTCTCATGTTTATTACACGTATTTTTTACAAAATTGTAAATAAGACACAAAATTCACATATTATATAAATAATTCTCAAATATTATTGAATAAAAATAATATATATTAAAAAATGATATAGTGGCCGATTAATATCTGCTTTTGATATGTTGAAACTAGCAATATCTACGAGGGTGCTTTTTTCTTCTTTTTTTATTTATTAAATGGTATAGCAGAACGGCTATACTTTGATTTTTACCAAAAAAAATAGTATATCCGCGCGGCTGGACGTATTTTGACACGCGGCTCCTAATCGCTAGGGGTCCTCTTTTTTTGGGAAAAAATAGTACAGCCGTTTGGCTATACGCGGTATTTTTATTTATTTTTAAAAATAGTATAGCCGATTGGCTATACCCGGTTTTATTTTAAAAAAAAATGATTCAGATATACATTTTTACTAGAAATCATGAGCCTCAGTATTTAGAGACTGTGCATGTAGACTGTGGTTGCATCATTTGATAAACAAATATGGAGACGAAATAATACTCTCGCAGGGATCCCTTCACTCTCAAGTAATGATAACCCTAAACCAGTATTTTATAATACTTAACACTAAAAAAATTGATGCAAATAATTAATTGAAAATGTATTAATTACAAAAGTCAAATAATGAAATTCTGTGTTCTGCAGCAGAATATGTATCTATGAAACCTGTCAAATACTGCGGCAAACGGATGGCCTAAGTAGGTGTTGCACAGCTGATCCGATTGACATTTTTTCTGGCGACGATTGGGACCATACATTGCCTGAATTGGCATAAAAAATTTGGCAAGGTCAGAACAGATTTGAGAGATGCCCTAGCAGCCAAGTCCTCCATCTCACTAGAAGACTGAAGCTGCTCCAATAATTTTACCACCTCATTCAAATCTGGCCTAAACTTAGAGTCTGTTGATAGGCATTTCATTGCAAGGTTAAGTGCTTTGCGAGCTTCATCAGAAGAGTACTGGCCTTCAATCCGAGCATCAAAAAGTTGGTGAAGTTTGCATTTTTTGGCAGATTGGGCATGTTGAACTAAATCTTGCTCTCCTGATGGCCTGTTAGCATCCAAAGCTCGTCTGCCGGATAAGATTTCAAGCAGAACAACCCCAAAACTGTATACATCACCTTCGGGTGTCAAGTCTTCTTCAAAAGACAAAAAAATGAACAAAAGATCAGATGGGAGCGCAGGGATAAATATATGCTTGATCATATGGTGGATACTGCAGAACTGATGAAGATGATATAGTGGCAGAGATGAGAGGGGGCTTTAATTAAAAGTGGATGGATATTGATGGCTAATAGAAATGGCACTGAGATATAATCCAAGGAAAAAATTGTTGCTACAGAGATTTTACATGTCATAAGATTGCATGTTTCTATGCAATTGTAGGGTGGTGATAAATAAAAAATACCTTCTTCATGGTAGAATTTATTGCTCTTTGAACACGAACAATCAGATAACTGAAGCATACTATAACCCTGAAGCCCTTCCTTGGCCAAACCATAACCAGAGAGTTTGGCATTGTAGTTCTGTTATTTAACAATGGAAAAAATGATAGGTGAGCAAGTCTAACAGATCTCTTCTAAAAGCCATAAAAGTTCAACAGCTAAAGATTTCACATACTGAATCAAGAAGGATCTTAGAAGTTTTGAAGTTTCCATATATCACTTTTGCCTCATCACTATGAAGAAATGCTAGACCCTTAGCATCACCCAGGGCAATCTTGATGCGAAGGCTCCATGGGAGCGGTTGAGACTGAAAATACCCTGTTCCAACAAAATTAAAGTCCCTAAAATATATTTCATATCGAAGTACTTGAGCTCCAGATTCATGGTATTGCTTCATTTAAAAGTTCAGATGGCTACAGAGCTAAGGAAGTTTATAACTCACTTCTAAATAGATGATTATCCAAGCTGCCACGAGGCATAAATTCATACACCAGAAACCGGCAGCTATCCTGTAAGCAGTAACCTATCAACCTCACAAGATTTGGGTGATGCAGCTTTCCAATGGAGTTAACCTCTGCCTACAGATCAAGAAAAGCTCCACAAAGTCAATCAATTAAATATTTTTCTGAAAATACTGCACACACAACATAGCAAGATCCAACAAGATTGTTTTGATATCAATATTTTGGCCTTCTTTGCTTGCACTTTGAACAATTGAACATCATCAGTAACTATATTTTAGCTTCCCAACTACTTGACATTGTTCCATAGTCAACTAAGATGAAAAATGCTAGGTTCAATACAAAAAGCTGATAAACAAGAGATAGAGAAAGTGTATTTGAGCATGAAACATAGACTCTGCATATAGAAGTGAAACTCACAAGCCACTCCTTCTGACCATGGAGACCTTCTTGGTTAGGCCTTTTCACAGCAATAGCCATGCCAGTACCAGGCTTGGCATCTGTTAATGAATTCTCATCAATCCACCCCTTGAAGACTGAACCAAAACTACCTTCACCAACCATATTATCAGGACGGAAGTTCCTGGTGGCTGTTTTGAGTTCATTGAAGCCAAAGCACTTCAAATTGGAAGACTGCAAGATCTCACCCTCCGCTGAAGGCACCGAGACAGATGGCACCTTGCTCTTGACTGTCTCATTCTCAATCGTCTCAGGCACTGTGTCCACAGGCAAAGTGACATTTTTCACAATGTGCCTCTTCACGTTCGAGCTAGGCCTACCACCCATAGTTTCTGTTGCTAAGAAACTATTTAAATTGTGAACAACTGAAACCAACCAAACCCATCAGAAGCTGAGGTAATCAGTACCTACTAGCAGTATCAGAAGCTAAAGACTCATTCAAATCAAACCCATGATTTCTTTTTCCTTTTTTCCAGGGAATTTTAATTCAAAGATGATCATGATATAAAATTAAGAAAACTGTAAATATGGATGCGTATAAACATACATGATATAGAAAGAAACCAGTACTTGGAGTGAAACAAAAAGTAAGGCTGATGAATGAAAAGAAAAACTCACAAATGATGATGATGAAGTTTACAAATCAACGAGGGAGCAAGAAGGAGAGACCTAGCTCTTGGAAAGCGGAGGAGACAGAGGTAAGGAAGTAGGTCGTTGACGGTTGACGAAGAACTAATATAACCATGATTTTCTTCTTAAAATAATACCTTACCATTTTGCCCCTTTTTTTTTCTCTGTTGAAAAATGATACCAGTTGTTAAAGCTGATTCACAACCAACTCAGACAAGTTTATTGTCATTCATAAATCCTGTAAAAGTTTTTTTCTTTCTTTGTTCTATTTTGAATCTCTGATGTCTTCATGTCTTATGCGATCCCTCCAGAAGTTGTACATATTTACATGACTTAACCTTTCCTAGTTTTCATCAAAGCTTCTTTTGGTGCAGCTTTGGACTTGGAAGAAGTTTTATATTTTATTTTATTTTAAGAAAGTTCATTTCTTTTTCTTTATGTCAATTTGTGTGCTTATTGCTTGAACTGATTTGTGTGCTTGTTTGTACATGTATCAATAAAAAAAAAAAAGAGGAAAAGAAGACAACTCTAATCATAAGGAGGAGAAGTGTGGAGTAGTAGGAGAAGTCGCGACCTCCAAATGCATCCATGCTCGACCTAATTCAATGAACTCACTCTGAAGCCAAAATGAAAAGGGCACTTACAATTTACTACCGGCAACATGGAATACTAGAACCCAGTGCAGAAATGCTACAAACGCCCGAACTGTGTGCAAAATAAACATTATACAAGTTGGTGTTCGAAAAATCGGCCGCCTAGGAGCTAGGCGGGTTTAGGGTTTTTTTATTTTTTATAATTTTTTTTCCTGACGTTAAAGAAAACCTAGGTTTTATCCTTTTATTTTGCATGATTTTTGGTAAAAATTTATAATTTATAATACAAAATAATTATAAATTTTTTTAAAAAAAGTCTAGGCCCCGCTTACCCTCTAGAAGCCACCCACCTACCGCCTAGCGATTTTTCGACCGTTGAACAATTCTGTACTAGAAGACTCTTGTTCTGCAGCAGGATATGTTATAAAGTGCTAAGAAATATGTCGACAATTCCGGAAACCTCATGTTCCTCAAATTCCAGGCACATAAAGAAAATATGCTTCAGAGGAAAGTAACCATGAAGACATTCACTAAACAAAAAAACTATACAATATAACCAACTGTAGCAGTACATGCTCATTACAAGATACAATTCCCAATATACATGCCATCCGCGTTCCCCTTCCTATTTCTTCTCCCTCCCTCTTGGCTTGAATTTCCCCCCATTTTGCTTTGAACCAATGGAAATAATGGTAAAGCATGAATGAAGGGTGAATGTCTCATGCATGGCTGCGGGGAACAGATGCCTTGGGATGAGGAGGAGTTGCTGCATTGTCGATCCCGCTGGTACTATTCCTGCGTTGTTTGGGAACATGGCTTGAATTGGCGTGAGGATTCGGGCGAGGATCGTTTTGAGAGACACCGGATCCCTCCGTGTCACTAGGTTCCTGAAGCTGCTCCAATGCTTTTATAACGTCATTCATGTTTGGCCTAAACTTGGATTCTACTGCTAAGCATCGAATTGCAAGGTTAACTGCTCTGAGAGCTCCACCCACAGAGTACTGGCCTTCAATACGAGCGTCAAAGATTTGGAGAACTTTGCGTTTGCTGGCAAGGTAAGGCTTGGCCCATTCAACTAAATTGTGCTCCCCAGATGGCCGGTTTTTGTCCACAGCTCGTCTGCCAGACAACATTTCGAGCAGAACAACCCCAAAACTATACACGTCACTTTTGGCAGTTAAATGACCTTAAAAGAACAAAAATAATGAAACAAGGATCAGAAGGAAGCATCTTGATCATATTTAACATTAAAGAAAAAAATATCATGGCTACTGCAGCACTGGTGAAACTAAAGTTGTACATAAGATCCTGTAAAACTAAAGTTACCTGTGGCCATGTACTCTGGAGCTGCATACCCATATGTCCCCATGATCCTGGTTGAGACATGGCTTCTATCACCTGCTGGCCCATCCTTGGCCAGACCAAAGTCAGAAAGTTTGGCATTGTAGGTCTGTTATTTAAAATATATATATATATATATATATATATATATATGATGTGTGAGCACGTCTGTCATAACTCTTGTAGAAGCATAAACTCAACAGTTAAATGTTTCACTTACTGAATCAAGCAGGATATTAGCAGTTTTAAAGTCCCGATATATCACTTTGGCCTCATCACTGTGAAGAAATGCTAGACCCTTAGCAGCACCAAGGGCAATCTTCATACGAAGGTTCCACGAAAGTGGTTGAAAGTAAGAAGCCCCTGTTCCACCAACAACAGTTTAAGTCCCTAATTATACTTCATATTGAAATATTTGATCTCTTTATCAATGGTACTGCTTAGTTTAAAAGATGGCTAAACAGTGAAGGAAGTTTATAACTCACTTCTAAATAGATGATTATCCAAGCTTCCGCGAGGCATAAATTCATACACCAACATCCGGTGGTCATCCTCTAAGCAGTAACCAATCAACCTCACAAGATTTTCGTGATGCAGCTGCCCGAGGTAGTTAATTTCCGTCTAGAGTTCAAGAGGCGCCACAAAGTAAATACATTATTCTCTGAAAATATTACATGTTACATCATCTATTTGTAACACGTTAAGAAGCAAGATTCATTAAGATTGTTTCAATATATTAGCTTTCCCAACTACTCTCATCTATTCCTCTGCTGGGGCTCTGAGTAACTGATCATCAATGTATATAAGATTCTCGAATATTTGTTGCAACATGCTCAACTAATATGAACAAATGCTAGGATTAGGGTACCAAAAACAAATCAACAAGATATAGCACAAATGCATGCAAGCAAATGAAGGATAGAAGTGACACTCACCAGCCATTCCTTGTGACCCTGGAGACCTTCTTGGTTGAGCCTTTTCACAGCAATAACCATGCCAGTACCAGGCTTGGCAGCTGTCAATGAATTCTCATCAACCCACCCCTTGAAGACACAACCAAAACCACCTTCACCCACCATACTATCAGGACGGAAGTTCCTGGTGGCTGTTTTCAGTTCATTAAAGGCAAAGCTCTTCAAATTGGAGGACTGCAAGATCTCACCCTCTGTGCGAGGAGTTGAAGGCACCGAGACAGACGACACCTTGCTATTTGAATGTAATCCTGGACATGTCATGTCAAATACCATATAACTTGTAAATAATGCTCAAAAGAATCCTAGACATGTCAGATACCAGTTTTATATAAAAAAGAATACAAATCTCCTTCTAAGTGGTGTAGTACATGACAATCAAAAGGTGTAATAAAAACCAGCTTGTCCATGCAAATCTGATTTAAAATTGATCCTAACTACAAGCTCCATTGGATGAATCTTACAGAATAATACAAAATTCAAATGAGAAAGGTACTGGTTTGAAAAGGTCTTAACCTCTTGATATCCTTCCACATAGCTAAAGAAAATGGGAGGCAATCATTTCTAATTGAAAAAAGTAAAACAGAACACAAATAGAATATTCAAAGTTGAACTTGAGTGTGTGTGACCATTACTTAGAAGTAAAATTTGAGTTTTTCTTCTATTCTTCTTTAGCTAGCTTATTTATGAGCAATCAGAGCAGTAACAATCATATAAACCCAGAAGCAGGATTCAATAGAACAGTAGCAAATGGTTCAGAGGCAGATATCAAAACAAAAATCCCAACCAAATGATGTTCTTCATGGAAACAAAACAGAAAACAGCAAACTTAGCTAGAGCAGCTGTAGATTCCAGTTCTTCATGTTTCACTAATCAAAGCCAACCAAATTTAATTAAAATCCCAAACTTTTAACTACCATAGTAAAGCAGAAAACAGTTGATTAATCTTAAAACTTAATTACCATTACGAAGAGGGCTGTCAGCTTTGATTCTAGAACTGAAGCAGGAACCCATCAGCACAAAACGTCCCAAAAACTCCTCTTGCCAAACCCAACTGCCAAAGAGGAGGAAGAAATAGAAACCCAAGTGTAAACAAGTTGAACAGAGCAAGCACAGCAAAGCAAGGCCCGTGAATCAAAGATGGTGTTCCAAATGTGTGTGAAAGCTCGGGCCTTTTTACAAACACCTAGCTGTCACCCGCATGTATAACCCACCAATTGAATACTAGAAAGTGAACCAAACAAAGAAAGGTTGATCAGAGAGAGGCGGATGCTATTTGCTTTGAACATGGAAATTTGGAGTTATGTGAGGTGTTTGGGTTCTGGGAAAGTTCTTTTATAAGACCTTCGGGAAGGATAAAAGTGAGAAAGGGTTGACTTGGCCTCCCCATTTGAGTTTCTTTATCTGCAAGTTGTAGATAGAGGGAGAGAAAAAGAGAGAGGTTTGGAAAAATTGTAAAAGACTATTCAAGCTTATCCAGATTACGTGCTCTTTGTCCGCCTTTCTCATCATGCGTTTGACAGCTTTGCATGGCCTCACCACTATTTTGGGCTTTTTTAAGTTTTTTTTTTTAATTAAATACAAACAATATTCAAAACTAACAGGGATAAGAGTTTCTAACATACACTATCAAAGTGTCATAGGAGTTCGAACTTGAGACCACTTGTTTGCAAGTCAAGACTCCTTTTCATTGGACTCAGGGCAGAACAGGTTGGGTGCCCATCCAACCCAATTTTGTTTTTTATATAAAAAAATACCTACATATGTTATAAGCCTAGTCAAAAATTAAAGAAATTAAAAGCAAACCTTATACACATGCTGTCCATTCAGGTGGTCTCATATCTTCTCTCTTTTTCTCTTTTGGCTATGCGACATCAGTTTATTTCTCTCTCTTAGCTACCCGACATCAACAGCTTCTTTCTCCTTCTATTTTTTTATTATATATTTTTATTTATAATTATAATTTAAAATGAAGTATTCTAGAATTTAATTAGGAATAAAAGAGAGTTTGCTAATAATCCACATATGCGGCAAAGTCCACAAGTTAATGAAATTAACAAATACAAAAGTCCCCATTTCGTAAGGTCAGAACAAGTGGGTGGAAAATAGAAAGAGGCAGTTAAATATTTATTTTGTTTTTCTCTATAATCATAAAATACTTTAGGGTTTCATCCACGTACGGAACCAAGAATAACCTATGAATTGTTGCAAATAAAAAAAACATTTGTGTTTCTAGTTCTACAATTAGAGAGGGACAGATCTTACTGTAATCACGACTAAAATAACGTTCGATGACATCAAAAGCCATGGCAGCCTTGAAAACAATCAATTGTTTGAAGCAGTTTGCTCCAGGCTTAGTGGGAAATGAACGAAACTAACGAGGAAAAAAACACAAGAAAACCAGTCATTATTTGACTTTTCCTAGCCCAAATATAACAGGAAGGTTTGGCTTTCCCAAGGGTCCAAAAGACAAGTTAAAATATATGTTGCCATATCATTGTGATTATAAAGTCGCTTGTGTTTGGTAATCCTTGACCTCATGCTAATCTAATCTTTGTATAAATTAATTATATTATTATATAATAATCAACTATCTAATCTAATATTAATATTCTTCAAGGCAATTGGCACAAAAGAAAAAAAGGGGTCACATGGAGAATATTAATTGAGAGCAACTCGTAAGAGAAATGGCTTCACGGGGGGCCTGCTATGAGCTATCTTCTTTATGGTTGGGAGGGACAGAGGAAAAGTAAGTACTCACAATAAGTCAATGAGGGCCACGCCGACCTTCATCAATGGAACATGCCACTTTGTTTTTTTTCTCACTTTCATCACTCACTGTAATTACAACATTCAAATCTTTGCCGTTCTTTTGGATCCTTGTTGTGAAAGCTCATTGCAACAACAAAAGACAGAGAGAATGGTAAATGTTTCACTCTCAAATCATATGAGTCAACTCCAAATATATTGTATAAAGATATTCGGGAGGACCACTGTAAGTGGCAATCATGACGGATTGACGGGAGTAAAGAGTAATCTTTCCGAGAGGTCATGACAACAGCACGTGTCACACGTAATGTTATTAGTCTATACATCCACCTATGTTGTCAAACTACCACGTAATGTTACCAATTCATTCATGTCATAACACGTAAATTTTCATACGTGTCATCGTAAGTTATGAATGAATAAGCCCTTTGCCTTTTGGCCCAATAGCATGGAATTATAAAGGGTTTAGGGTACTTTCTGGGTAGAACAAAAGGCTCTCTCAAGCCCTTTATGGTGTTTTTCTTTTTCTTTTCAAGCAAAGCTTCACTGATTTTGCTTTTCTTTGATCCCATATATTGAAAATTCGGAACTCTTGACCAAAGATACTTGAAAGCTTTGGCACATAAGAAAATTTATTAATACAGAAAAACCCAAATCCAGGTGCTGATCGGAATACAAAAAGAAGGAAAAAAAGCATAATTATTTCCTCAAAAGAGTATCTGTAAAATTGTGCGGAATAGATTCTCTACCACCCAGACAAGAGATCTAGAGTCACACTACTCTCATCAGGTTCAACGCTTTAGGTACTTTTCTTCACCTCCGCAGACTTGATAATGTCAATAAACTCAGGCTGGAGAGAAAGGCCACAGAGGCACACATGTAAGAAATAAGGGATAATAAGAAAACTTTCTTCGACCAGAAAATCACAGCGGCCGTATTATCAGCATGAGCATAAACTATGATCAATACCTTTAAAGAAGCTCCACCAACCAAAAATCCGTCAACATCGGGCTGACCTGCCAGCTCTTTGCTGTTTGCACCATTCACAGACCCTGATAAAAGGTATTTAGTTAAGCCACGTAACGTAAAAGCCAACAGAGAAGAAAGATAAGTGGCCTGCTTATCTTCATGTACAAAGGAAAAGCGTGCACTTTAGTCAATAGAATACCATGCAAACTGAGTGGACTCCTTCCAAAAAATAGATCACTCAAAATTGACACAAGATTCTTGGCAAGAGAAACATATATTTATAATTTGAAATGATTTCGATGGATTGTTGACCTCAGGTTGGCATATGCCAGCCTACCCTTGCCCTATCCGATCTTTCACCCCAAAGTCAAAGTAATTTTTATAAGCACTCATTCTTGTATAATAAGTCTTGATTTTTTCCCTTTGTTAAAATCAAGGGTTAAGAACATGCATCCATTGACACGGGAAATTGTCAGAATGCTGCATTAGTGGGAGTTATAAAGTTTTTCAGAAATTAACAACTTAGTAATTTAGTATCTATAGACAATTATTCATCTTGCCTCGCTCTATTTTCTGATTACAACGAAGTTGATGATTGAGAAAAAAATGAAAGTAAAAGACCAAAACAGGAGGGGAGAAAAAGCTCATCATCATCAAGCAAAAAATATATAATCTTACTTCAAAATTATTTGTCAACAAAATAAGGAAACTAGAAATATAGATTGAGAAAAGGATAGATAAACAACAAAATTAGGTGGTACAGATGTAGAAAGATACCTCCATAAATGATCCTGGTTGTTGCAGCAACTTCAGGACTTACGTTTGCTTGAAGCCATTTCCTCAATTCAAAATGCACCTGTTGTTTGGAGAAAAGTTCGTATGAAACACAGGCATGGTGAAATATGTAGATAAACATACATGCATACAGACGCACATACATACTAGCATGCATAATGAGTATATGACCCAGGAAATCCCAACCACAGAAGGCGGGTAGTTGACAGTTCAGAAAGAATTGCTCACTCAAGCTCATTTTACTTTAGTTTTAGGAAATCTTGAAGACAGAAAATCCTTAGAATTGATCTCCATTGTTTTCCATCAATCATCCTCATTTCACTTTAGCAATTATAACATTCTTGATCTTGCTCAACATTAAATATAATACACAAAGAGCACTCAGTTCAAACTAAAGCAAATAAAAACAAAAAACCATATCCAGAGAATCAGAAAGGCATGACTTACTTCCTGAGCCTGAGCTGGAGATGCAACTTTGCCAGTTCCAATGGCCCACACGGGCTCATAGGCCAATACAACATTGGTCCAATCTGACACTTTTGCTGCAGTTAAAAAAAACATCTTTTAAATAAGTACATAAAGAAATTAATCCAGTTACACAACACTCAACAAACATTCTTTCACACTAACAGTAAGCAAGAACTTGGAATTTTGAAATGCACCTGCAATGGCCTTGGTTTGTGCAGCCACAACCTCCACGGTCGAGCCAGATTCTCGCTGCTCGAGAGTCTCACCAACACAAGCAATCACCTTCAAACCTTGAGCTAGTGCATATGCAACCTTATCGGCAACAAACTGAAACAAAATGTGTGCATAATGAGAAACTA